TTTCAAAACATTTTCTCAAAACAAATTTCAAAAAGTTTTTTTTTCCTTCAGACATGATGTGAGTGCTCCAGTAAAAAGATTTGACACCTACAGTAAAATATTTCTTCCCTAAAAAAACAGATAAACATCACTAGGGGTGGTAAACGAGCCGAGCCGGCTCGCGAACTCGACGACCCGGCTCGAAAAAAGCTCGAACTCGAGCTCGGAATTTTCGAGCTCGAGCTCGAGCTCACGAGCTCGAGCTTCGGACGAGCTCGAGCTTGAGCCCAAAAGTAGTTGTTTGACAGCTCGCGAGCCGGCTCGCGAGCTGCCTTCTATTTTTTTTTTTTTTTTCTTTTTTCTTTTTACATATATATATATATATATATATATATATATATATATATATATATATATATATTATTCTTATTCTTATTATTATTATTATTCTTATTATTATTATTATTATTAACTAAATAGTAAATAGTCTATAATAATAAATATATCTAGTATTTAAATAGAAACAAATCTATATTACTTAAATAATTCATAATTATATAAAATATTATAATAATAATAATAATAATAGAAAATATATATATATATAACTAGAGTTCATTATTTATTTTATAATTTTTTTTTATTTTCCTATGAATAATTTCTAATAAAAAAAAATTAATAAAAAAATTAAATAATAATAAAAAAAAAAAAAAAAAAATTATTTAAGCCTGAGCTCGAGCTCGCCAAAATTGGCTCGAGCTCGAGCTCGAGCCAAAAAAAATTGGCTCGATGAGCTCGAGCTCGGGAACATGGACTCGAGCTCGAGCTCGAGCTGGCCAAAAGAGCCGAGCTCGGCTCGAACTCGGCTCGTTCCCACCCCTAAACATCACTTCATCTTTCAATTTTTTTCTTCTAAAATACTTTTTTCTAACACATTTAAACATGATTTGACTCCTACAATGTATTTTGTCTCCTTTCAAAATATAAACAAACATTAATTTCATTTTCAAATTCTTCCCCCAAAACATATTTCCTCAAAATGAAATCAAAATAAGCTTCAAAACGCTTCCAAACATTGCCTTAGTCTTGCAAACTGACACCACACTCCTCTCCGATAACTACCTCGAAGCGACTCGTTTTCTATGGTCCATCTTGGTGTAGGGCTCTATCTTACTAATATGTCGGTTGTTTGGACCATTACGGAGGTTCCGGCCCAACAATTTTGGAGATGGAGAGTTTGACCCACTTAGTGACTAACTGGCAGTCTGGCACCATCAAATATTGAATATAGTGAAAATTTGTCAAAAGCCCATCATTAGACAGGTGGTGGTACGATAGACCCAAAAAGATATCCAGATTTTAAGCAAAATCCAAAACGTATTTAATTAATAAAAATATATTAGAATTCACTATTATACCCTTAATTCAATTTAGCATATCTTATGGTTGAAAATATGTAATTATGTAATATCTTTTCCATAATTAATAGATCACGTAATCACATTTTGAATGATGTGAGACCACGAATCCCTCTCCTTAATTGTAGACATATGGTTTTGTGGAGGTGGGAATTTTAATTTCAGAAAAAGGGTCCCATGATATTTATTGAGTTAAGAATAGCGAGGTTCGTGTTCAGATTCTACAGAGTGGTTTTCACAACCCTTAGTTATATTTGCGATTGTAAGTAACAAATTTCATATATTTGATAACTCATTTATTTGGTACAAGAACATGTTTGTTATTGTTGCAGTATTTATAGTATATTTTCTTTAAACGTGTTCTTATACATAGTGGTTTTCAAAACTTGTTGATATATTGTTTGAATGTCTTATACAGAGTGTTTTCGCAAATCTTTGTACATAATGGTTATATACAGAGTGGTTTTCACAACTCTTTGTAATGAGTGGTCTTATACAGAGTGGTTTTCGCAACTCTTTGTACTGAGTGGTCTTATACATAATGGTTTTTGCAACTATTTTCGCAATTCTTGTAAAATACTTGCAATATTCAAATAATTGTTTTAAATCAAAAAACAGAAGGCCGTAAATCACTTACTTTTTTATGTCGATTTTTGAACCATTTAGCCGTGATACAAATCAAGAAAAAATATTTTTTCGTGAATAAAACAAATATGGTTTAGCCTCTAATCAATGTCTTCCTTAAGGATAGTATCCGTTGTTGGATGGGCGTTGAAAGCGGTGTGCAGACGATGATGTTGGAGTGTATTTCGGGCGTGAATTGGGGCAGAATTATGAGGAAGATTTTTCGGTTGTGTGATCTGAGAGGGATTTGTGTATATCGACCGAATTTTTAATTTTAAGTTAATAGAAAATTAATTAGTTGGGGCATATAGGGTATTTTGGATTGTTTGGACTTATGGCAAATATCAATTTATAAAATTGGATTTATCAAGAAGTCAAAATGCAATGGAGGGTGTTTATCAAATAACCCCTTGAATATAATATGTCAAAAAAGTTAGACAGCTATTCCCAAAGTTCCTG